ACTATTTTATTGACATTTTACAAACAAATTGAGTTTGGCGACCCTCAAACTGAGAAAACAAAAAAAACTCCAAAAAAAGTAAAAAAAGCTCATTACGAGTTTATTGTTTTTGGTGGTAAATTATTTTTTAATAACTGCTTTTATTTCGAAATACGAAACAAAAAAATAATATTAAAACTTTTGTGAAAAAATGTTGTGGGAAGTCATACCTCGAGAGCTGACATTTCCACTATTTTATTGACATTTTACAAACAAATTGAGTTTTTGACATTTGATAGTACGTATTTTGTGTAATCTTTTAATAAATTACTTTCCGACCACGGAATATAATCACAAATCGTCACACATATTACCATGGTGATTGAGTAAAGTTCCTTTTTGTAGGTATATTTATTGTTTACATTTTTTTTCTTTAATTTTAAGTCTGTTGCATTCTTACATACCTTGACGTTTTTACACTTGCGTTCTTAAGTTTTTAAGTTTGTAGCTTTACTTTTAACATTATTATCATTATTTTTAACTAGTTTTTATTTATTTTTATTCTAACGTTTTTGAGTATTCGTTATACCTACTTTTATTTTATAGATTAAAAAAAAGTTTATGTTCAGTATAAATTTATTGGTCTTTTTACAAACTACCACTGATAAATAATAATATACGAGGTGGTTTTGAAAGACACATACTAAATATCACTAGTGCCTCGTGAAAGTTACGCCACTGAATTATAAAAGTAGTACTGGTTGCGCAGCAAACTATTTACGGTTGGTTGCTACTTACTACTGAATGTACAATGAAAAATTACGAAAAGTGAGTGGCGTAGATCATGTATGGGAATAGTAAATTAAAAAAGTTGAATTTTTTTTGTCTTGAAATAACTATATTGGTAGAAAAAAAATTAAAACGTTAAAAATGTAAGTAAAAATGTAGTAATTAATTTTACATGAAATTTCATACAAAAAAATAATATGAAAATTTTCGTGACAAAAATGATCAAATAGTAGATTAAATGCGTGTTGGAAAATGTGGCATACTCCAAGGGCTGACATTTCTACTGTAGTTTGTACACTATTTAAATGACAAACACATTTCTTTAAATAATAAAATAACTACTTTGAAACAATATTCTTTTTTCTTAATTTTTAGTACAAAAACTTACCTTTTTTATATTTCTTTTCACTTACCTTTTGTTTACTTATAACCGATTAATTTATTAACATTATTAACACTGTTGTGGTTACATGTTTTAAAGTTCGCGCTCTTATATATAGGCCCGCCATCTTTTGGTGCTTATTTAAGCTAGTTTTATGCGTTTTGAGTTCTTATTTGCCCTTATGCTCTCTTTTTCTCTTATGATACTTATTATAGAACATGTGCACATGTTTTAAAGTCTTATACACCCGCCATCTTTTATTGCTTATACGAGTTAGTATTTAAATTTAAATTAGTGAAAAATTGTTGGCTTTACCGGGGATCGAACCCGGACCTACCTGCTGGAAAGCGGGACCTTATGCCGCTAGGCCACCACGCCGCCCGACAGTCTCAATGTTTTAACTCAATATATTCATACAGACTTACATAAAATTTTCCAAAAAAATTTTGTTTGCATTTTTACAACGTTTTTATACTTTTATAAGTTTTTCGAACTTCCAAGAGTGCAAATAGTTTGATTTTGAAATTTCAATTTTTTAGATTTTTGTCGAAATTTTAAGCGATTTTTGAATATAATAACTTTGAAATTGTTGACTAGTTTTTTTTTGTTTAATACCGTTGGAAAGCAAATTTAATTTTTTATCATGTAAACAAGATAATTGTTTTACGTTAAATAGTTATCGAGAAAATTGTTGATAAAGTCAAAAATATTCTTCTAAATATTTTACATACTATATACAGGGTGAATATAAAGTATGGTACCAAGCAGTTTTATTTTTAATCATTTGCCTCCAGAAAATAATAATTAATATAAATTAAAGTAATATAAAAAATGTGATCGTATTTTCAGAATGAAATTTTGTTTTGTTTTTGAGTTATGCGATTGTTTTTGTCAAAATTGCAATTTATGTGAAAAAATTTTTTTGAAAAAATTAAATATAAAGCAGATAGTTGTAATCCTTAGAGTATAGCTTTTATGAGAAAAATGATTTTATAGTGGGTTGCCATTTAAAAAAATATTTTTTTTGTAGAACTCGAAAACAAAAGGAAATTTCGAAAAAATTTACTCTTCTTAAATCATCACATTTTTATAGTACTTTATCACTCGTTAATTAGTTTTTTCAAAAAATAAATAATTTAAGCAAAAAACGTTTGGTTCCATACTTTTTATTCACCTGGTATGTAAAAACATATTGTACGTTTGAGTACAGTTTTGCGTAAAAATTTGTGAATTTCGTAAAGTTATGACAACATCGAAAATAATTCTATACAAAATTCCAATATTTAATTTGGTTGTTTCTAAAATATAATTTTAATTTAACCCCTTAAACCCCCTTTTCACTGCGCCACTGTACCAACCTATTTGCGGTTGCTAAGATACGTTTTATGAAAAGTTACGAGACGTCAGTGGTGTAGATCATGTATGGGAATAGTAAATTAAAAAGGCTGAATTTTTCTTCTCTTGAAATAAATATGTTGGTAGGAAAAAAAATGTAAATAAAGATGTAAGTGTGTATGACACTTAGTCTTGTCAATTTTTATTGATATCTTAATCTCATATTTTAGACTTCAATTGTTGCTAAATCTTATCTTGAGGTCAAAAAAGTGATAATTGTTTATATCAATTTATTTATTGTTTTCTACAATTTTTAATTAACTACAACATCGGAATTCTCTGCAATCCAGTCCAAATATTTGGTGACTCGCGTGTACACAGAGGGCCATCCAATTTCACACCCGAACGAAATACCAAACGAGGTGACACCAATCTGGAACAAATTGATAATTTTTTGTTTTCCCCCCACTCAAATCCTTACCAATTCGCCGGTGGAGGCCACCAATGGGCCACCCGAATCCCCACTGCACGTCGATTTACCATCATCTCCATGGGCACAAAGATGTGTGTCTTGAATCACCCCCAAGTAGTACAAATTGCAAACACCGTTTTCCCCCACTGGAACTTGGACAGATCGGAGAACTTCACTGATGCTTTCGGCCTTATCGGAGTCTTTTCCCCACCCACTGGCAGTGGCGAGGTCATCCAAATAGTCCTTTTCGGCATCAGCGCGAGATGGGAGTGGTACCGTCTTGATGTTGTCTTCATTTCATTGTTAATTGGAGTGAAGAAACAGGGGAAATACTTACCATTAAGTTCGACGACTCCTTCAGGAATTCGAAGAATGGCAAGATCGTTTTGAAGAGTCAATCGGTCCCATTTTGGGTGAACCATAACTTCGCTGCTGTTAACTCTGATTTGTTCTGGTTCTGCCTCCCGGATTTTGTGGGCCCCTAACACGATCTCAATGTTTTTGGACCTAAATAGCACCATGAGTACCATTCAAAAATAAGTATTGACTCACAATTCCCCACAATGGGCCGCTGTGAGTACCGTAGTCGGCGAAAGGAGAGAACCACCGCAGAAAGCAGTACCTTCATCTGTGGGAATGAGGAGACCCACTTGGTACGGCAAGGAGTGTGGTACTACTTCATTTCCTCCGGTGATTCTAACACCGGGTTTGAAGTTGACTGGTCTTCGTGCAGGGAAGAGGGGTTTCACGTGGGCTGGTTTGAGTTGGCTGGCCTGTAAAACACTGTTAAATGGAAAAATAAATAAGTTGGGGTTTGAATACTTGAGCCAAAGCCACACTAAGAACGACACAGATGATGAGCTTCATGTTTGTTGCTTATCATTATTTTTGGCACTTATTTATATAGGAAGGGTTTAAGTGGGCCTTGATTTTATCTCAAGTGGTTATAGAAATTTTGGAGTTGACGTCTGAAGATAGTTTGCAAATAATGATCTATTTTGGGCAATTAATAATCAAGGTTGTTTGATGAAAATTGAGATTATCAACCAACACACTTGTAACATTATTTGAGAAAATTTATTTGTTGTTTTTGAATGTCAAATGAAAATAGCTGGCACTGGTTTGGGAATTCAAAACCTGTGATAATTTAGAAAATTATAGGAAATAAAGAAAAGAGTTTTAGAAATAAATTTATTAGAGAAATTACAATATCCTTTTATTCGGGCATCAATAATTTGATGTGGTTTCCAAAATTTTCGCATTATTGCCGGTCAAAAAACACCAACGTTTGCAAAAACTCGTCCCTTGTGTTTATTTGATCAGTTTTAGTGTCATTTTATCGATTGGTGTGGTTTGAATTTCGGTTTATGTGACACGAGATGGAAATTCGATTTCTTTGGCTAGTGGTTGGTTGGATTTTTATTTAGGGATCACCATCCAAACCGTTTGTGTCATTCCCAATTGCATAAACGTGAGGAAAATCACACTTTTCTTTCATAAAATCCAACGGATTGATAAGCAATTCAGGCTTTTAGAAAGTCCAATTAATTATAGAAAAATTTCGATTTTTACGAATTTGGCCACACTTGTGGTTTTCACCGAATTCGTGGTTGTTTTCATCCTTGATTATATTTTATTCGTGGAAAATGAATCGATTTTGTACTTGATTTTCTCCTATTGTCCCATTTTGACAACGGGGATTGTGAAAATCCAATTTGCGACTTGTGTTTACCTGATTTTGCAAAGAGTCAGACATGTGGGACTTGGATTGAAGAAAATTGAACAAGTGTCAAGTGAGTATTTTGGAAAAACACAAATTGTGATTTTTTTCCCAAAGAAAATCGTTTTTTGGCCGTTTTGGATATACTTCATGGTGTTCACAACGAACTATACAGTCTGTGCGAACTCGCAAATTCGCTCTACGGTTTTCAGAATTTTTTATTTGTTTTGTCGACATTTTCTATCTGTGTTACCCAATTTTACTACAGTTACGACAGTGGATTCGACAATGATGACTTTGTTGATGTTTTTTTCACCCTACAGTGGGCCTTTTTGCAATTTTTGGAAATTTTCGCACTTGCGTATATTTGCGACAAAATGCAACTCAAGATAATTAAACTAAATTTTCGCCATTTGATTTATTTCCACCTCTAGATTGTTGAAATAAAGTACTCAATTAATAAACTACTGTTCAAATCAAATGACCAAAAAATCACGTTGGAGGTGAGTGTTTGTGAATCAAAAGTTCAATTTGATTTTTTCTCAAAGTTGAAGACTTTTTCCATGCATGAATTCCATCGAAAAGTCYAATTTACAGCTTGGRAACTTTTCAGCTTCGATTTCARGATGATACAAATGGTAAAWTTTAATTTTTTTATTTATTTTTACAGTAAATTTCAGCTCTGTGGCTTGATAACGACATATCTGATAATTATGATTCAGCTCGACGTTGCGAGATCGACAACTAATTTTGKTAAAAAYTCCAGCAGTGTTGAATAAACAAACAAAACAGTGTTTTTGTCATTTCCACACTCATAATTATTTTATATAACATTTGTTTCAAATTGTTTTGGACAGTCTGGGTTAATTTAAATTTGACGTTTATTCACCACACGAAAAGTGTGATTCACAACAAATGTTTTAATTTTTTATTTTTGAGTTATTGAACTTTACATAAATTACTCTAAATATTCCAATGTTGCGACAAACGCCTCGTGCATGGCCCTTCTGTAAATCCCCCTCACAGCATCGCCAACTGCTTCAAGTTTTGCGACGCAACAATGTTTGATTTTTCTCAAATAAACAAATCTGTGTTTTTGTTTTTTGTATTTGTACGTTTTTTTGTGTTTGTTGACCAAAATTTCAGCAAGTAGAATCAAACCTGAAAATAAATTTCCGATGCAAAGCAAGTAGAAAGTCCCTTGAAGCATTTTAATGCTGATGGGTTGGAGTTTTTCGTTTTCTTCACTGACTTTGGCCACTCTTCGATTTTCTTTTTTGACACCAGCTTCAGACGTTGTTTGTTTCTTTTTCCCTAATGGGTTTCAGTTATTTTCTTTATAATTCCTGCTTTCAAACGACAAAAAAATTGATGCTAATGATAAAGTCACAAGTGCCAATAAAGCACAATTTATTAAAATTTTACTTAACATTTTCGTAATATTTCTGTCAATCAATTAAGTATTGCATGATAGTTTACCGCTCGTTTCGTAATAAAATAGTGTCCTACAACTTATATTATCCACAATGAAAGCACTTCTTCTCCTCACTGTTATCTTCTCTCCCAGTTTATGTGTTTTTATACCAAAACACCGCAATTTTCCAGCCCCTCATTGTAAGTAAAACACGCAAATTTTTCATTTTTGATAACTAAAGTGTTCAGATGGAATCGAAGAACTGAGACGCGACCACGGGGGCGACCTCGTTAGTGCCGCCTTTGACATCGTCGACGGCTTTCTCTTTCAAGAAATTTGCATTTGTTTCGATAAAAACACAAGTAATTGATTGAAAATCCCGAATACTACACGAATCGTTTAGATAAAAACTTCTTGCAGCACCTTTTGGTACACTTTGTCCGAAACAACATCGCCATCAAACTCTTCAATATCACAACTGTTGAAATCCAAGACAAATATTTGGCATTTTTGAACTACCAAGTGACGAATCATCTCGGGGCGAACACCATATTTTTCAGCTCGCACAAATTCTACGAACACGTTCTTCTCGAAGTAAAATTTATTTATTTAAATAAGACAAAGTTGTAGATTTTTTTTTATTAGATCAATGATCGTGATTACATTCGTCGTAACTTGATTTATATTTTCAACTGGGGTCGGAGGCCCTTTAGCCGCTATTTTATCAGGAATATAATGTCCGTGATGAAGGTTTTCGTCATTACAAACCCGCGAAACGACACTTTTCGCATTTTTTACAACCAGGCGGTACCCCACAAGAAGCACCATCTGGAAATGGTCAATTGGTGGCAACACGGAGTTGGCCTTTTCAACCATCCCACACTACCAGCCAAATACAATAATGTGTTTAAAGATTTCAAAAAAAATATTTTTCGAATACCAGTGATTCATGTAAATTTAGTTTCTAAAAGTTACAAACGTAAAATTGATTTTTAGAAACCCCCATGGCATTTCGTCCAGTACGCTAACGACTCTATTAAAGTGACCGGAGGCCGCGACGACCGGATTTTATCCCTCTTGTCCAAAAAACTCAACTTTCGGTACGAGTACTTCGACCCTCCGGAACGCATCCAAGGGTCCTCAGCGTCGGAAAATGGCACTTTCAAAGGGGTTTTAGGCCTGATTTGGAAACGAGTAATCAAAAACCACACTAGAGCCCCGAATTCAATTATTTTTCCACAGCAAGCTGAGTTTTTCATCGGCGATGTGGCCCTAAGCCACGAACGCGCGAACTACGTCGAATTCTCGTTTATCACTTTGGCTGATAGTGGAGCTTTTATCACTCACGCTCCCAGTAAGCTAAACGAGGCTTTAGCCCTTCTTCGGCCCTTCCAATGGCAGGTTTGGCCCGCCATTGGGGTGACTTTCGTGCTCGTGGGACCGGTACTTTACGCAATTATTGCGCTGCCTAATGCCTGGAGACCTAGGTTTCGAGTGAGGTCACATGCACGACTTTTCTTCGATTGTACGTGGTTTACCACGACTGTGCTTTTGAAACAAAGTAAGGAAAATTGGGGGTTTTTGGTACTACTTTGTGGATTTTAGCCGGGAAAGAGCCAAGTTCGAGTCACAAAGCGAGGTTTTTTATTATCATTCTCTCGATTTCCTCCACGTATGTGATTAATGACATGTATTCGGCTAATTTGACTTCGTTGCTTGCTAAACCGGGACGAGGTGGGGTGGTACTTGACGGGGATTTTAACAAAAAGTTGTTTCAGAGAAGGCTATTAATAATTTGAATCAATTGGAGAAAGCTATGGCGACTAGAGGCTATGATTTGTATGTTGAGAGGCATAGCTCGTCTTATAGCCTATTTGAGGTACTGATGGTACTTGTGGTGTTTTTGTAGAGGGAATGTTGTTTTTAGAATGGGACGGGGATTTATAGTCGATTATGGCAAATGATGAATCGACGCCAAACCCATTTTCTTCTAGAATCAGTGGAGGAAGGGGTGCAACTTGTCAGGGATAGTACCAACAAGGCTGTTATTGCCGGCCGTGAAACCCTCTTTTTTGACATTCAAAGATTTGGTACTATGATTCTTAAAATTCTTAATTTTTTTAAACTTGGGAAATTAGGTGCCAGCAATTTTCACTTGAGTGAGAAATTAAATACAGCATACTCAGCAATTGCCTTGCAATTGGGTTGCCCTTACATCGAAGAAATCAATAAAATGTGACTATTTTCATGTTTGGATGATTTTTAGTACTTTTTTTGTAGCCTTATGGCGATTTTCGAGGCCGGAATTATAACGAAAATGACCGAAAATGAGTACGAACAATTAGGGAAAAAGAAAGAAACAACGTCTGAAACCGAAAAAGAGTTAATACCCGGTGTCAAAAAAGAAAATCGAAGAGTGGCCAAAGTCAGTGAAGATAACGAAAAACTCCAACCGATCAGCATTAAAATGCTTCAAGGGACTTTCTACTTGCTTTGCATCGGAAATTTATTTTCAGGTTTGATTCTACTTGCTGAAATTTTGGTCAACAAACACAAAAAAACGTACAAATACAAAAAACAAAAACACAGATTTGTTTATTTGAGAAAAATCAAACATTGTTGCGTCGCAAAACTTGAAGCAGTTGGCGATGCTGTGAGGGGGATTTACAGAAGGGCCATGCACGAGGCGTTTGTCGCAACATTGGAATATTTAGAGTAATTTATGTAAAGTTCAATAACTCAAAAATAAAAAATTAAAACATTTGTTGTGAATCACACTTTTCGTGTGGTGAATAAACGTCAAATTTAAATTAACCCAGACTGTCCAAAACAATTTGAAACAAATGTTATATAAAATAATTATGAGTGTGGAAATGACAAAAACACTGTTTTGTTTGTTTATTCAACACTGCTGGARTTTTTAACAAAATTAGTTGTCGATCTCGCAACGTCGAGCTGAATCATAATTATCAGATATGTCGTTATCAAGCCACAGAGCTGAAATTTACTGTAAAAATAAATAAAAAAATTAAAWTTTACCATTTGTATCATCYTGAAATCGAAGCTGAAAAGTTYCCAAGCTGTAAATTRGACTTTTCGATGGAATTCATGCATGGAAAAAGTCTTCAACTTTGAGAAAAAATCAAATTGAACTTTTGATTCACAAACACTCACCTCCAACGTGATTTTTTGGTCATTTGATTTGAACAGTAGTTTATTAATTGAGTACTTTATTTCAACAATCTAGAGGTGGAAATAAATCAAATGGCAAAAATTTAGTTTAATTACCTTGAGTTGCACTTTGTCGCAAATATAAGCAAGTGCGAAAATTTCCAAAAATTGCAAAAAGGCCCACTGCAGGGTGAAAAAAACATCAACAAAGTCATCATTGTCGAATCCACTGTCGTAACAGTAATAAAATTGGGTAACACAGATGGAAAAAGTCGACAAAACGAATAAAAAATTCTGAAAACCGTAGAGCGAATTTGCGAGTTCGCACAGACTGCATAGTTCGTTGTGAACACCATGAAGTATATCCAAAACGGCCAAAAAACGATTTTCTTTAGGAAAAAAATCACAATTTGTGTTTTTCCAAAATACTCACTTGACACTTGTTCAATTTTCTTCAATCCAAGTCCCACATGTCTGACTCTTTGCAAAATCAGGTAAACACAAGTCGCAAATTGGATTTTCACAATCCCCGTTGTCAAAATGGGACAATAGGAGAAAATCAAGTACAAAATCGATTCATCTTCCACGAATAAAATATAATCAGGGATGAAAACAACCACGAATTCGGTGAAAACCACAAGTGTGGCCAAATTCGTAAAAATCGAAATTTTTCTATAATTAATTGGACTTTCCAAAAGCCTGAATTGCTTATCGATCCGTTGGATTTTATCAAAGAAAAGTGTGATTTTCCTCACGTTTATGCAATTGGAAATGACACAAACGGTTTGGATGGTGATCCCCAAATAAAAATCCAACCAACCACTAGCCAAAGAAATCGAATTTCTATCTCGTGTCACATAAACCGAAATTCCAACCACACCAATCGATAAAATGACACTAAAACTGATCGAATAAACACAAGGGACGAGTTTTTGCAAACGTTGGTGTTTTTTGACCGGCAATAATGCGAAAATTTTGGAAACCACCATCAAATTATTGATGCCCGAATAAAGCGACATTGTAATTCCTCTAATAACTTTATTTCTAAGTGATTAAAAATTGAACTGGATCAATATAACTAAGTAAGTGGTCAGGGCCGCAATCATCTGAAATTAAATGATAATTAAGACAGTTAGAGACCTGGGGGCTCACCATATGGCAAAACGTCCAATCTAGTTGAAAAAAATCCTTCGCAGTGAACTGTAATCTGGTGTTGAGGAGTCTAATCGCGACCAATTGCAAGTGTCGCACTCTCTTATCCACCTCATTCTTCAACGCATATTTGTTCCAAATATCGTGCACAAAAGTGGCCGTTTTGTTGGCATGTCTTTGGGTCCGACTAAACATTGCCACCATCACCAGAAACCAATAGAAGCAGAAGAAAAGGAAAAAAATATTGAAAGTGTAGATGACAATAAGCGAGTTGGTGTCTTCATGCCTTGACCTGATGTGGATGAAGAGATACATCGTGTCAATGACGTAACCAAACCACATGATCATGCCCGTGATTGTGGTGATTTCAAACAAACCGCTGATTTTGACCGTCAATCTGACCAGTTTGTAGTGCAAATGTGACAATTCTTGGATTTTTTGCATGTTGAAAGTGACTTCGTCTTGCTTCAAGTTCTTCACTTTTTCGATTTTCGTCAGAGGAAAGATGACAAAGAGATCAACGGATTTGATCTGGCGTTGAAAATTCTGGTTGATTTGGTCGAATTTGGTGGAGATGTCGTCGAGGATGTCGCTGAGGAAGAGGTGGTCCAAGGCGTTGACCACCAGGGGGAGAAAACAGAAGAAATAGTAACTCACATCGCTTGGTAAAAACGGGTAAAATAAAATATTGCTGGTGATTGAGGCAAATAATCCACTCCTCACCCATTGGTGCGTGTTGGTGGTTTTGGTTCTGATTGAGTTGATTTGGAGAGGTTCCAGGGTTCTTAGGAGGGTTTTTAAGTCGTTGCTGCGTTTGTAAAACATTACCATTGAGGTTAACATTGCGAGAAAGCCGGTGTAACCGGCCATTTGGTCGATGTATTTGAACATTCCTGTGAGGTTTCGGGTGTAGGTTGTGTAGATGTAGGAGATGTAGAAGAAGTAGGAGTAGAAAGGGAGGCACCAGAAACGGGAGATGAAAGAGGAATCGGAGTTGAGAGGGAATTGGATAATCCCCAGGAGTTTGTAAAGGAGGATTAGAGGGAGTGGAGTATTGGCAAGGAGACGCATTTTTGAGGAGTAAATATTGAGGACAAAATTGTTTTTGTTTTGAAACAAGATCAAGTAATTATTGTAAGTGCTTGATTAAGTCTAATACTAATAATTTCCTATTGTTTTGACGTTTAAAAAATCTAATTAAATTAACTCTTTGTTTCAATTGAAGTGTATTTTTTTGTTGAATTAGACATTTTTCATCAAGAAAAATTGTTCGTAAAATAAATATAAAAATGCCTACTATCAATTTCGTTTTCTTTCGTTTAATTGCCATAAACCGAATTTCAAACCCCCAAAACTTATGCAACCACAAATTCAAGCGTGTGTGTATGTAGCCGACTATCACCAACCTTAAGAAAGTGCAATAAAGCGCGCGAATTCAAATTTGGGAATTTCGAACCCAAATATCTCGAAAACTATGCGTCGCACGTAAAAATTAAGTATGTCAAAAAAGATGCGCAATGAAAGGTTCCATCGAATGGTTTAGTCGAATTTGATTTTGGCGATGGTCATTTTCGTATCTGGCTTAGGAAAAACAAAATACCTACCTCATTTTATATTTTTAAAGTCTATGCTTTTAGCTGAGATGTATGAGGGGTAACACGATAGGGTTATTTTCAGTTTGAAAAACCCACCCCTAAAATGTTTTTTTAACAAAGCGACTTATTTTATGTCATGTAGTAGGGTTATGAATGGAGAAAATAATTCCATAATTTGAGATTTTTTGGTCAACTAAAAACCGAGATATTGAATTAAATTATGTCGGAACAATGTTTTTTTATTGTCAGCTTTGCATCATTCGATTTGCGTGAAAAAAAAAAAAAAGAAATGGGGGTTTATCTAATATGACCCGTTTGACCTATTTGATTTATCGTGATCCGACTAAAGTTACAAAAAAATTGATTCAAAATTTTTGAAACTTGATCCAATAACATTTTATGCAGTTATTTGAGTCTTTAGGACCTCTAGAAATGTAAAAAACGTAAAATGGATCAATTTTAAAGTTAAAATTTTTTTGGATTTTTGTCAAGATTTTGGTCGATTTTTGGCACCCGGAGCGCTCTATTAGCAATAACTCCGGACTTATTGGCAACAATCCCTTATATTTAGTACCGTTGGAAAGAGAATTTAATTTTCTATCATATATTAAAAAGTTCAGTGCTCTACGATGAATAGTTATCGAGAAAATTTCTGATAAAGTCAAAAATATCGAAAATTTAAATCCGACTATAACTTCAAAACTACTACGAATTTTACAGTTTTCTTGTCGCTTTTAAAAGGCAAAAATAGTAATAACATAATGTTTGACTTGGTGATTTCAAAACAAATAAATTTTTTGCTTTTCCTTTTTTAAATTATCTAACTCAATTTATTGTCATTGTGTTATTCGATATTTTTGCTTTTTGCTTTTTCAAGTACAAAAGTGAATAATAAGTAATTAATTTACGTCATTTTTTTATGTTAAACACATTTTGGTAGAATTTATCTTTTTATAAATGGAAGAAATATTTGAATGATTTTAAAAAAGATTCTTCACAATAATGCTGCCACATTCGAGAGTTACAAAATTAACAATATTACAAAAATACCTATGACATGGGAGTAATTTTTCGAATTATGTTTACCAAACGAATTAATTTACTTAAGTGTTTAGGTAAATTAGAAACACCCAATTTGGGTCAATAAGCCACTCACTACTAGTTTATCACAATGTATTTATTTGAAACAATTCCAAACTACATGATATTTATATACAGGTCTTTGGGAATCGTCCAATTTTGTCCAGAAACTTCTAATAAAATCGTCAAGGTATTTCCTTACTTCTTTTACGTTTCGTTACATCTGTATTTTCTACACACTTGTTTCAAATTTCCCTCCGACTATATGACTCTCACTTTCACTGGTCTTTTTCACTACATTGACTTGTTATCAACTGTTGGAAACGTCTTATCGATGATAACATCACTGGTCATGTTTCACAAAAGAAACAAACAACTCAAATTTCTCTTGAAGGAAACCGACAAACTTGAAATTTACACAAATGAAAAGTCGCGCTTTAGTTGCATACAAATTTTGCTCTTTGCCAGCATAATAGGTCTCATTTTAACACCCTTCTCCAAAGAACTACCGTTAAATTTATCATTTTTTTATTTCATACCACTGTTTATCAATATTTTTGATCACATATTCCTGGGCGATATTCTAAAGTTTGTTTCATTTAAATTCGATATGATAAATGACCATTTGCGAACCCAAATCAAAACCGACGATGAAGACACCAAAACGAACATTCGACGAGTCCAAGAACTGTCGCTTTTTCATTACAATTTGGTCGGTTTAATAAAAAAAATTACTGGTCTTTTTGAAAGCACAACATTGGCAGCAATGTGGCTGTGGTTTGGGTACATGGTCGAGAGTTGTTACCAAATTGTGCAACTCCTTGTTCATGGAAATTCTTCCTTTTGGGCGATTTTCGCGTTGAATTGTTGTTTTGGTCTTACTCAAATTCTATGGTTGTGTTTTCTACTACAAAGATTCACAACGACTCAAAACAAGGTAAATGGTTCAAATTTGGGGTAAATGGTTGGGCTAAAACCGTTTCCAGGCTAACTTGACTGCGTCTTATTTACACGAAATTTGGAATAAATATTCGCAAAAAGGGAAAATTGACCCCAATGTGCGTTATCTTCAATTAATTGCCATTCGATTTTACAACACCAAAGTGAGGTTTACTGCAAAGGATTTTTTTAATCTGGATTGGACTTTTGGGCATTTGGTAATGAAAATCAACGAAATTTAGACTTTTTACGGTTTTTTTGCAGATGATTGCGGCGGTTGCCACCTATGTGGTAATCCTGGTCGAGATTGAAATCTAAGTTTTTACTTATTCCCTACATTATAGGCAACCAGTAAAACACATCTCTAATGTTTTTGTTAATCTTAGATTGGTAGCGCTCGCATGGTAGCTCTATTTGCCGATAACCAAACTACCTACTACTTTTAATTTGTGATTTATTGGTGCAAATAAATTTTATAGATAATTTTGTAATTAGTTACAGTGTTTTTCACGGTGATAATTAATATTTACAAAGATTTCAAATTTTATAAAGTCAGAATTTTGTAGTAGGTTATTTGTCGCCGTGGTCGAACAATCTACTCGCAACATAACCTCAAATGCTGTTTCCACTTATTAAAGTTTTTCAAGCAAACAATGCCCGACATCAAGATAACCCCTTTGGGGGCCGGTCAAGACGTGGGTCGCAGTTGTATCCTTCTCACAATGGGTGGTAAAAACATAATGTTGGACTGCGGCATGCACATGGGGTACAATGACGAGCGCCGCTTCCCCGACTTCTCCTACATATCCCAAGAGGGCCCCCTCACCTCCTACATCGACTGTGTAATCATCTCGCACTTCCATCTCGACCACTGCGGGGCTTTGCCCTACATGTCTGAAATGGTGGGCTACTCGGGCCCCATCTACATGACCCACCCCACCAAAGCCATCGCCCCCATCCTCCTCGAAGACATGCGTAAAGTCTCCGTGGAGAAAAAGGGTGACCAGAATTTCTTCACCTCCCAAATGATCAAAGACTGCATGAAGAAAGTCATCGCTGTGACCCTCCACCAGTCTTTGATGGTGGACAACGAGATTGAGATTAAAGCGTACTACGCGGGACACGTCCTGGGGGCTGCCATGTTCTGGATCCGCGTGGGGGCCCAATCCGTGGTGTACACCGGCGACTACAACATGACCCCCGACCGGCACTTGGGGGCTGCCTGGATCGACAAATGTCGCCCCGATTTGCTCATCTCGGAGTCGACCTACGCCACCACGATCCGCGACTCGAAACGCTGCCGCGAACGCGACTTCTTGAAGAAAGTCCACGAGTGTATGGACCACGGGGGCAAAGTCCTAATCCCGGTGTTTGCCCTCGGACGCGCCCAAGAACTCTGCATCCTCCTCGAGACGTACTGGGAACGCATGAACCTGAAAGCCCCCGTGTACTTCGCCCTGGGGCTCACCGAAAAGGCCAACAACTACTACAAAATGTTCATCACGTGGACGAATCAAAAAATCAGAAAGACTTTTGTGCAACGAAACATGTTTGATTTCAAACATATTAAGCCTTTCGACCGCTCGTATATCGACAATCCGGGCCCCATGGTGGTGTTTGCGACCCCTGGGATGCTCCACGCCGGACTCAGCCTCCAAATCTTCAAAAAGTGGGCCCCCAACGAGAACAACATGGTCATCATGCCCGGCTTTTGCGTGCAAGGCACTGTGGGGCACAAAATCCTCAATGGGGCCAAACGAGTCGAATTCGAAAACAAGCAAATCGTCGAAGTGAAAATGTCCGTTGAATATATGAGTTTCTCGGCCCATGCTGATGCCAAAGGAATAATGCAATTAATCCAACATTGTGAGCCCCGAAATGTGATGCTTGTCCACGGCGAGGCCGAGAAAATGGAGTTTCTCAAACAGAAAATCCTCCAGGAGTTCAACATCAATTGTTATAACCCCGCCAATGGGGAGACTTGTGTTATTTCAACCCCGGTCAAGATCCCCATTGATGTCTCACTCCCGCTGCTCAAATCCGAAGCGAGGAAGTTTAGCGCTTTGCCCCCCGACCCCAAACGGAGACGCACCCTCCATGGAGTGCTCGTAATGAAGGAGAATAATGTGTGTTTGATGGATGTGGAGGATGCGTGCAAGGAGGCTGGGATTAATAGACACATTATTCGGTTCTCCTCTACGGTTCATATTAATGATACAGGACCGGCTTTAGCCACCGCACATAAATTGCACGTTTTTATCAAAGAGAATTTGCCACAATGGTCGGTGACCTTCGCCGAAGGGGAGATTTCAATCGAGTCGGTTTTGGTCAAGGTGGAGGGGGATGAAGACGAACAAAAGAACGTCTACGTCTCGTGGACCAATCAGGATGAGGATCTAGGGAGTTATATTTTGAATTTGTTGAATCGAATGGGACAATAATTTATTTTTTGTTGATATTAGTTTTTTTGAAATTACGCGCCAGTTTGTTGCCAACCTAAACCGAAATTCCCCTAATTTCAAATACTGGATAAAATTGAGAACAACACCCTTATTTTTTTATCAAAATTACAAAAGTTGCCCAAAACTTGCTTCACATTTAATTAATTGCAACGATTTTAGTCTAATTTTGATTAATTGCAACGTTAAACATAAAATACAGCTAAATACTTGGCACATTAAAATCACGAAATAATTTTAAAATTTGTTGAGAAATAGTTTGTTGCCAACCTAAACCAAGATTCCCCCACTGTTCAAAGTGGTGAGTTTTGACCACTAAAGTCAATAAAACTAGCTTCAAATCTAATTAATCATCACGATTTTGACGCAAATATAATTCGTTACGGCGTTAAATATGAAGTACAACTATTTTTCACATTAA